TCGATCCCGAGAGACTACTTTCATAGTATATATATATATATATAAACTTTTGTTCTTTGTCGCATAGAAGATGACGGAGAGGTGGTGACGTTACCGAGAGGCGAGGAACGATACTCCACGACCGAGGGNGGAACTGGCTACTACACCCGCAGAAGAAACTACTCGAGAAGTGAAAGAAGGGGAAGAGCAACAGGTGGTTACCGAGCAAGCAATAGTACCGGAAGAAGCGCAGACCGTAGGAGGAGTGGAGAAGGGAGAACGGCCTGAGTTGCCAGCAAGCGGCGAGAAGGAGGAAGAAGCGAAAGCAACGGAGGAAGAAAGCCTCGTTCCTGGCGAGGGAGAGAAGGAAGAAGAGCCAAGCGTCACCTCCGAGTCCTCTGTAGCTCTGGAGGAGGAGCAGCCGGTTGAAAAGTCCACGCGGTTGCCTGAACTTCCAAGCGAGGAGAAGGAAACATCCTCGATCCCTGAGGCGACAACGGAGAAGGGTTTGGGCGAAGAACAAGTGACGGAGGCGGTGAAGGAAACGGAAGGCCCTGCGATCGTGTCCGAGCAGGAACAAAGAGGGACGACGGTGGCGCCTGGCGAAGAGAAAGGTGCAGAGGAAGCGGCCACGCCTGAAACAGAGGTGGCCACTGAAAAATCTGTCCCAGAAGCTCCAAGTACCGAACAAGTTCCTGTGCAAGAAGAAGAAGAGAAGAAAGAGGAAGAGAAGCCAATGGTGGAAGTCAGCACGGAGCAGCAGCCTACAGAGGCGGGTGTTGTTCCAGCGGAACATGGCGTAGAACAAGAAGCGACCACGGAAGCTGCGGCAGAAACGGAGCAGCCAATGGTACACGAACATAAGACAGGCGTGGCTCCTAAGAAGGAAGACGCGATCCCTCCTGAAATTCCTCCGGAACCTATTTCTCCAGAGGCCAGCGAGAAACCGTTTACGGGTGAAAAGGCTGAAGAGGAGGAGGAGGAAACCCCGGTGATCCCAGAACAGGGTCCGACAGGAATTTCGATCACGGAACGTATACCTGAAAGCAAAGCAGAGGACAAGGAAGCGGTGACCGAAATGCAGGTTACGGAGGGCTACGTTGACATGAAGCCGCCAGAATTTCATGTCCCGAGCAACCTCGTGACCGAGGCTCCTCTGGCCAAGGAACCTTCGTCCACGTATCTACCGGAAGAGCACGAAACGACGTCCGCTCCTAGGCAAGAGCAAACAGTGCCTATCGAGCAAGAAGGGACCACGATGAGGGGACAATTGTCCGAAGAAGGATCCACGACGGAGCCGCAACGAAAGGCGACTGAAGAAGAAGTTTCCTCGGTTACCGAAAGCGATCAGGTTCCAGGCGAAGAGAAAGAAGCGACGGAAGCAGCTCCTAAAGGCACCGAACAACCCGCGCCGAGTGTCGAGGTATCGACAACGCAGCAACCTTCACAGGAACAAGAGGCTCAACAGACGGAACAACCTGGCTTACAGGAGGAGCAGAGCACGGAAACCTCGTCTTCCGAGGTTTCGCCCACGAAGGAAACTTCCAAGGAAGAGATGCCGACGAAGGGATTGACTATCGAGGAATCCGAAGAAGTAACTTCATCCGAGGAAGTGAACGATTCCAGTGAGGAAGTTAGCAAAGAGAAACCGATTGAGACGGAGAAGGAACCCGAGGAACATCCGTCAGAGATGCCAACTCAGCCTTCTGTATCGGAGGAACATCCGACGGAACAACCAGCAGTCGAGGAGCAGACTGTTGGAACTGAGAAAGTAAGTACAGAAAGTGCCCCGATAGCTCCTTCGACGGAAGCTCCAAGCGGAGAAGAACGATCCACGGAAGTGGTCCCAGAAGAGAAAGTTGTTACCGAACAAGAAGAGCGAGTCACTGTTGCGCCAGAAGAAGGTGTGCCAAGCGAGAAGCCTGAAGTCGGTTCGGAAGCTGCCGAAGAACAGGTGACTGAGAAACCAGTTGCTGGCAAAGAGGAAGCTCCAGTTACCGCTAAACCAGCAGAAGGTGAAGAGATAAGCACAGTGCCCGTAGTTAGCGAAGAAAGTGAAGCGAGCGAGAAACCTCTCGAAGAAGTTCCGAAAGAAGCTATACCTGAAAGCACATCAGCAACTCAGGAGGCTGAAGAAGCAACGGAAGGAAGTTTAACGATCGAAGTTCACCCAACAGTGGCGTCCATGGAAGGAAAGACAGAAACGCCAGAGTCTTCGGAACAGCCTGTTGTCGAACAGACCGAAGCGCCTATAACCAAAGAAACGACTGAACAGGTAGAAGAAGAACGGAAAACGGAGGAGCCTACGAAGGAAGAAGAAGAACGGAAGACGGAGGAACCTACGAAGGAAGAAGAAGAACGGAAGACGGAGGAGCCTACGAAGGAAGAAGAAGAACGGAAGACGGAGGAGCCTACGAAGGAAGAAGAAGAACGGAAGACGGAGGAGCCTACGAAGGAAGAAGAAGAACGGAAGACGGAGGAGCCTACGAAGGAAGAAGAAGAACGGAAGACGGAGGAGCCTACGAAGGAAGAAGAAGAACGGAAGACGGAGGAGCCTACGAAGGAAGAAGAAGAACGGAAGACGGAGGAGCCTACGAAGGAAGAAGAAGAACGGAAGACGGAGGAACCTACGAAGGAAGAAGAAGAACGGAAGACGGAGGAGCCTACGAAGGAAGAAGAAGAACGGAAGACGGAGGAGCCTACAAAGGAAGAAGAAGAACGGAAGACGGAGGAGCCTACGAAGGAAGAAGAAGAACAAACCGAAGGACCTGCAGCTGCGTCTCCATCGACGGAAGAGACGATGACAGAAGCAGGAGCAGAGAAGGAAGGAACTCAAGCTCCTGTGGAGGAGCACACTAAATCTCCTATCAGCGAGCGTAAAGAGGATGAAGAAAGCGTGAAAGGTGCTGAAGAGCCATCCGAGAAGGAAGAAGGCGTTCAGAAGCCACCTCTTGAAGAAGAGAAGACAACTGAAAAGCCTGCAGGGGAGGAAGAAATGACTGCAGTGCCAGAGGAAGCTGAAGTAACTGGAAAGCCTATCGAAGAAGAGAAATCACCCGAGGAGCAACCTAGTGAAGAGCAGCGACCTAGTGAAGAACCAACGAAGGAGGAAGAAGAGAAGTCTGTTGAGGGAAAACCGACTGAAGAGCCAGTAGAAGGTGAAAAAGTAACCGAAGAACCGACTATTGAAGAGGAGAAACATGCGGAAGAAGAAAAACCGACCGAAAGTCCGGTCGAGGAAGGAAAGACGACAGAAGAGAAGCCAACTGAACCTGTGGAAGAAGAAAAGGTGAGTGAAAAACCTGTTGAAGAAGAAGAAAAGCCAATAGAAGAGGAGAAAGGAACAGAAAGTCCCATGGAAGAAGAAAAACGTGTCGAGGAGGAAGGAAAATTGGGAGAAGAAGAGAAGCCGACTCAGGAACCTGTTGAAGAAGAAGAAAAACCTATTGAGGAGGAGAAACCAACAGAAAAACCTGTTGAAGAAGAAAAACCAACCGAAAAATCTGTCGAAGGAGAACAACCTACGGAAGAACATAAACCAATTGAAGAGCCTATAGGAGAAGAACAACCTACTGAAGAGCAAAAACCAATTGAAGTATCGACTGAATTGCCTGCTGAAGAACAAAAACCAACGGAAAGTCCTATTGAAGAGGAAAAATCAACGGCGCCTGAAGAAGAGAAACCTAGCGAGGAAGAAAAATCAACTAAAGCGCCTGTACAAGAAGAGGAATCAAGTGAACAGCCTAAAAAAGAAGAAGAAGAAGAAGTGCAACAAACTGAAGGACCTATCGAAGAAGAAAAACCTGCTGAAGAAGAAAAACCTTCTGAAGAAGAAAAACCTGTTGAAGAAGCGAAGCCAACTGAACAGCCAATAGAAGAAGAAAAACAAGTGCCAACTGAAAAGATTACCGAGGAAGAGAAACCATCTATCGAACCTGTCGAATCTATTGAACAAGAAAAGACAACTGTGGAACCTGTTGCGGAAGAAAAACCAAGCGAAGTCGCACCCTCTCAAGAGACTGTATCAATTGAAACTTCAACTGAAGGTCCTACGATAGAAGAGAAACCCTCTGAAAGTGCCGAACCAGTATCTACCGAACTTCCTATTGTAGAAGAAACTGTTAGCCCGTCTGCTCCTAAAGAAATAGCTGAAGCATCGACAGAGCTTCCAAAAGAGATTCCAGAGGGTTCCACGATCGCTCCAAAAGAAGAAGTTCCTTCGCGCACGGAAGAAACGCAAACAGAAATTGCTGGCACACCGCAGGAAAAATTAACGGAAGCTCCCATCGATCATGGCGAACCTTCTACAGAACCTACTAAACAAATTCCAGAACAGCCCACCGAAGAAGGAAGCACTCAACAACCAGAATCACCGATTGAAGCGACAACAGCGGCTGTTCCAAGCGAAGAAACAATCAAAGAAGAAGGCAAAATATCCACCGAAGAAGGTATCGTGACTGAAGTATCACCGACCGAATCTGCGTCACCTTCCGAGGAAACCAGTCCAGCGGAAGAAGAACAAAAGGTATCTGTTCCTGAACAAGTTCAAACCGAAGCTCCATCGAGAGAAGAGGGAACAACGCAAATTTCTCGCGAAAAAGAAACCGAGGCTCCAATGTTGGAAGAAAAGATTATAGAAGAAGAAGCAACGTCTGCACCTAAGGAAGCAGAAATTCCAGAAACTACCCCGTACTCGGAAACATCGTCAAAAGTCGGGACTGAAGGAGTCGTCGAGCAATCCACGTTGGCTGGAGGAGTACCCGAAGAAGAGGTATCGACGCAACCTCCTTATCATATACCACCAACAATTCCAGGAGAGGGCAATTGTCTCGTCGAAGGTCAATCTTACAGCAACAACTCTGCTATTCCTCCGTCGAATCCTTGTCAACTCGCTTGCCGTTGCGTCAGCAGTATTATTCAGTGCGATCTGGTTCAATGTCCACCGCCCCCAAGCCACTTGTCGAATTGTATGCCACTTCACATCGGTAAAGATTCTTGCTGCCCGATGTACGCTTGCGACTCGACGCCAACCGCTGGCTTGGAGTCCGATAATCACATGATCGAGCATGAAACGCCTAAATACGAAGAGGAGGAGAAACAGAAGACCGTACCACCTCTAGAGGCGGAACTTCCTAAGGAAGGAACAACGGAGGGCGTCGAAGTGAAAGAGCATTCGACCACCGTAGCGCCGAAAATAATACCCAGCGAGGAAACAGGCGAACAGACGACTGCTGCGCCTGGTTTGGCGGAAGAAGCGCAAACGACATCGAAATCTGTCGAACCTGATCACACGCAAGCGACTTCCACTGTCATGGAAGGTGCCAAAGAGGCCGAAGAGCATACTCTTAGCCCAGTAGTGCCTCCGATGCAGGTAGAGTCTTCTAGTCAAATACCTTCGGAGGAAACTTCATCAGAAATACCGAGCAGTTCGGTAAAGAGCGTGGAAGAACAGGAAGAGCAAGCAACGGAGGTGCCATCCCCTGAACAGCCAATCGAGAAACACGTTCCCGAAGAGCAGCAACCCTCGAGTCCCGCAGCAGGCGAGGAACAGACGACGCAACCGATTCAAGAAGAAGAAACTTCCGTTGGAATTGAAAAAGAAGCTGCTACCACGGCGAAACCAACGGGTGAACAACCAGCGGAAGAAGAGGAAAAACCTGCAGAGGGTGAAGAACAAGTGACCGTCTCTCCCGCGATCTCGGAAGAAAGTACGAGCCAAAAGTCCGAAATTCCAAGTTCTACCCTCATACCAGAAGGCCAGCCACAGGAAAGCGCCGAAACTCAGAGACCGTTGGAAGAAGGAACAACTTTGAGTGCGGAATCGGTAACACAACCCGAAGAAGAAAGGAAAGAACAACCTGAACAGCCTACTCCAGAGGATGAATCGCAGACTGTCCAGCCCAGTGAATCAGAAAAACCATCTCCTCCAACCGTGGAATCGTCTACTCCAGAGCAAGAAGTTACTCCTGTGGAACAGGAAACTGTTAAACCCATCGAAAGTGAAGCACCTGGAACGACAAAAATGGAAATCTCTACAGAAGTTCCGGCGTCAGAGGAAGTAACCGAACCTGGCGTGACTAAGGAAGAACCAAGTAAAACTGAAGCACCTCAGGAGGAAGGAGAGGCCACGACACCAAGCGAGGCAGAAGCTCCAAAGAAACCAGAGATTCCTTCAACGGAGGAACAGGCTGTACCCGTTGGAACTGAACAACCTTTAACACCTACTACTTTAGCAGGCGAACAAACCAAAGAAACAGTTGCACCTGAAGGCACGCTCAAGGTGACTACGGAAGCAGTGATTGCAGAGGAGCAGCATACGGAGATACCTGAACAGCAAACGGTATCCGAGGAACAAGTGGCAAGCTCGACCGAGTCTGTCGAGGCGAGCAGCGAAAAAGAACCATCGATACCTATCGAAACGAAGGAAACGACCGAAGAACAGGGTGTCACGGAAGAGCAGCGACCAACCGTCGTCGAAAGCAAGCCCGAAGAGGAAACTTTACTTTCGTCCGAACCAACTCCACCAGCAGAGGAACAAACTCCCGCTGCGTCTGGCGAAGAGGAAGCTACACCATCCTCCGTTTCTCAGGAAGCGATTACGGAAGCTGCGCATGAAGCCACCACGGTGAAAGCTGCCCCTGTGGAAGCGACTTTGCCTCAAGAACAAACTGAACAACCAGCTGCTGCTATCGAGAAAGAAACGGTGGCATCTGTTACCGAAGAAACAGTTACGGAGAGGGTTAAGGAAGAAACCGTTGAACCAGAGGAACACGTCTCGACCGAAAAAGCAGTCTCTGTCGAAGGCGAAGAAGCGCCTGAAACTACAGCCCCGATTGAAGTTGCGGGACAGGTGACGGAGAAGGAGGAAGAAGCGACAGAATCTGCGTTGCCAGTTGAGAAGGAAGCAACAATCGCTCCTGAACAGACACAGAAACCCGAGGAGGGAACTGAGAAATCGGTTGTGGAAGGTGAGGGAGTTAAGAGCGAAGAGCAATCTAGCGAGACATCTTCTCCGATGGATTATACTCCAAGCCCAATTTCACCAGAAGAGTCGAAAGAGAAGGAAGAGAAGAAACCTGAAGTAGTAACGGAAGGAATACCGGAAGAGAAAGCGACAACTGTGCCAAGTGAAGTAACTCTGTCTCCAGAAGAGCAACAAGCTTCCGTGACTGAAAGGAAACCGGAAGAGGGTATTCCAGAAGCGACTGAAGCGCCATCGATGGAAGAAGGGACAGGCAGACCGATGGAAGAAGAAAAGGGACAGGGAGAAGAACAAACGACTCCAGCAGCGGAGATCGAAAAAGCGACTGTTTCCAAGACACCTCTCGAGGCTGGTCCAACCGAAGTGCCAGAGAAGATAGTTCCCGAGGAAGTACCGTCCGAGATGCCGGAACAAGCGCTTTCCACCGAACAGCCTGTGCAACTTACGGAAGCTCCTGAGAAGATAGCGCCTTCCACGGAAGCTCCAGAACAAGAACTTCCTTCCGAGGTTCCACCAGAGAAAGCTGCAACACCAGAGGCGCCGGAATATTCGACCGAACTACCTGAAAAAGCAATTGCTGCCGAAGAAGTTCCTGAGAAGGAAGTTCCAACCGAAGCGCAAGAAGAAGCAATTACTACCGAGACATCGGAGAAGGAAGTTCCTGAAATATCGACAAAAACTCAACCTACTGAAGCGGCAGGAGACCAAGTTACAGAAGTGCCGGAGCACATTATTCCGGAAGAAGAAAAACCTGGCGAGGTAACGGAGAAGATTGTTCCTGAGGAAGAGAAACCAGTTGTGACCACAGAAAAAGTTCTTCACGAGGAAGAAGAAAAGCCTGTCGAAGTGACGGAAAGAGTTGTTCCCGAAGAAGAAAAGCCAGTTCAGACGACGGAAAAGATTGTTCCTGAGGAGGAAAAGCCAGTTCAGACAACGGAAAAGATTGTTCCTGAGGAGGAAAAGCCTGCTGAAGTGACCGAGAAGCTTGTTCCCGAAGAGCCAGCCGAGACGACGGAAAAGGAGCTTCCTCCTGAAGAAGAAAAGCCTGCGGAAACGACGGAAAAGACTCTATCAGAAGAAGAAAAACCTGTGGAAGTGACGGAAGAGCAAAAGCCAGCAGTCGAAGAGGAACAACAAACAGCTAGGCCCGAAGAAGAAGAAGAAGTTTCTCAAACTACGGAAGACCTTTCTCTCAAGGAACAATTACCCGAACAAGCCGCGACCGAAGTTCCTCAAGAAGCGACCAAGCTTCCAACCAGTGAGGAAGAAGAGTTGGCGCGACCAACTACAGCAGCGGTTGAAGTTGAAGCGACGTCTCCTCAAGAAGAACACCCGAATCCCATAACCGAATCGACGGAAACTACAATAGCGCCCGAGGTGCACGAATATACGACTAAGGAAGCGGAAGCTTCGGAGGAAGCACAACTTGGCGTAACGAAAGCGCAACCTGGCATGCCGGAAGCTCAACCTTCCATCGAACCTACAGTCGAAACTTCTACTACGGAACACGAAGAAGAGATGGCACAAACCGAAAAAGCTCCCGAAGAACATCCCGCGGTCCAAGCATCTACGGAACAGCCTCAAGAAAAGAGCACCGTGGAACCAGCAACGGTTCCGGAAGAGCCCAAAGAGGAAGAAGCTTCCCCAAAACCTGAAGAAGATCAACAATCGACCGAGGCATCCGTCGAAGAGCCCACGACGAAGGCTCATCCGCTTCCAACAGAGCCGTCTCTCGCCGAATCGAGCGAAGAGGAACAGGAGGGAGAAGTAGAAGAACCTGGATTGCCAGAAACTTCCGGCTCGACGACCGAGAAAGAAGAATCGGCCGAAGGCTTATCGGATCATCACCTTCCGTCGATGAACCAAACGTTCGAAGCCACTGAACGACCCGTCCAACCCACCCTTCATCAGCCAACGAGTACATTAGCCCCTCAGATACCCGAGTACTCCGACCAGGTATCTGGAGAGGAGAATCCGCACTTCCCAACGCACGGTGGAAGTTATCTGTCGAATGAAGATTACGACGAGGATGACCAGGCGATTTACGGACCAGGCACTTGCCGATACGGCGGAAAAGTCTACGTCTCGGCTCAACAGATACCAAGGGACGATCCTTGCGACTTCTGCTTCTGCTTCAGAAGCGACATCATCTGTCTGCAACAGAGCTGCCCACCACCGATCCCAGGTTGCCACGAGGAGCCGATCAGCGGTTTTTGTTGTCCGAGATACGAGTGCCCGGTGTCGATGGCCACGTCGCTCAACATCACCACGACAACGACCACGACCACGACCACGTTACCACCTCATTTCCATGCCCATGCATACAAAGGAGCAGCGAAACGAAGCGGATGTCAGATTCGCGGCCAAGCGTATCGCGTTGGAGAAGTCATTAGGTCCGCGTCCGGACCTTGCCTTCAGTGCACGTAAGTTACTTAAATCATTTTTCTCTTCTTTAAAGTCTTTCTAATTTTCTCGCATCATTTACCGTTCGAATAATTTAAAATTTCAGTTGCGGTGGTGACGGGAACATGAAATGTGATCCACGAGTGTGCAGCCCGGAACCGATGTTGAGGCAAATGATAGCGGCGGCCACGGCGAGAAGGAGGAGATGAGCCGTCCAACGAGATCCCGGGGATCCTTTGGACGAACATACAAGGGAAAAAGGAAGTCTAGAGAGCTGGATCAGTGTTGTATAAAAGTGAATTAAAAATATTCTAAACTATCTAAATATCGCGGGAACACAGACTGTAATGTGCTTCTGCGATCACGAACTGAGTGGCCAAAACCGTAAACGTTTATATTATAATATAATATTATGTTATATAAAGAAGAAAAGAAAAGAGAGGGGGAGAATGAGAATAGGAATAGAGAACGAGAGAGAGAGAGAAAGAGAGAGAGAGATGAGTACGTGTAACGGAAGGACTAAGAAAAAAAAAAAAAAAAAAGAAAAGGGGGAAAATGAGAATAGGAAGAGAGAACAAGAGAGAGAGAGAAAGCGAGAGAGAGATGAGAAGGGGTAAAGGAAAGGCAAAAAAAAAAAAAACGAAGAATTTAACTCTCCGGAAAACAAAGGCCGTTTTTTTTTGGGGCCAAAGGAAAAACAAAAAAAAACGGAGCGTTGTTTCGCGAGGAGTTAATTTTTTTTTTTTTCTGATTCCTGCCGTTACACGTGCTCATCTCTCTCTCTCTCTTTCTCTCTCTCTCTTGTTCTCTCTTCCTATTCTCATTTTCCCCCTTTTCTTTTTTTTTTGTTTTTTTTTTTTTTGGGAAAAAAAAAAAAAAAAAGAAAAGAAAAGAAACGAAGAATTTAACTCTGCGTAAAACAAGGCTCGTTTTTTTTTGGTGCCAAACGTAAAACAGAAATAAATCGGTGGAACGAGAAGGGATATAGTGAAAGAAAGAAAGAAATATTTCGTTATATAGTTGCACGTTTCACGCCATTAATTTTTCTCTTTTTTTTTTTTTTTTTTTTCACCAATAAAAAAAATAACAATTATGGAGGAAAAGAAGCGATAAAGAAAAAAAGATAATGTTGCTGAACGTACGAGACTTATGACTGTGCCTTCGTCAGTGCCGAACAGCGGCACTAAACTTTCGTTCCGTGACAGTCAAGCTGGCGCTGAATATAGCCGCGATCATCGTCGTTGAAGCTTGGAAAAAAAAAAATGGGAATATCGTCATTTAGGAATTAAACGTGGTGATGGGAAACAAACGTATAAAAGAGCGTTCCGATCGAGCGCGACCAAAAAAATATATAAATAAAAAAAATGCGAAGAAAATAATAGGAATCTGTGTTATCGACAAACGATCACGGAACGATTTCTCTTTTACAGTGGACATTGTAACAGCAATCGGTCATATGATCGTGCGAGGGATACGACCAGAAAGATCTTTATCAACGAACTGGGCGAAGCTCGTCGTACTGGTCTCCCATGTACGATCAATAATTGCGTGAGAATTATTAATTAAGAGAAGAGAATGGTCACGTATATTATGTAATAATACATTGCTCTTGTAATACCACTGTAAAAAAACTTGAACAACGATGATCGACGGCGATCTTGCCCCACGATCGCGATAGATCTTGATCGTTACACGGCTGACACGCGTCGTGCGCTTACAATCAGTCCACATTTACTCGCGTCTGCTGACGTTCCACGCGTGCTGGGATACGATCGGAAAGATTATAATACGCAACAACGTCGCAGATCCATGACGAATTTTTTCAATTATCAATTATCGTTCTTCCAAACTGTTTCTTCTGAACGCACAACATTCCTCCTCCTTGGAGGAATTTTTATAATATATATATATATCTCCTTAGTCTTCCTCTTAACGCGATATCGCTCGTTCGTTGCAACGAACCGCTAAACTTAACTCGATAAAATCGTTTGTACTTTATACCATACGAATCCAATACGAACGAGCGATACGAAAATCCTTCCCCCGTAGCGTGCAATAAAAAGAAGATCGTATTCGAGCACCCGCGTTTGCATGTGTGCGTGCGCGTGTGTGCATGGTACATTTATACGTTTAAAGAATAAAAAGAAAAAAATGGAAAAAAAAAAAAGGAAAAAAAGAAGCAAGAAAGACAAGAAAGACGAAAGGTACGCGTATCTCAAAGCTCAAACAGCGGCTCGCGCGGAGGACCGATCGCGAATTTGCTTCTCCGGCGAGCTGGCGTCATTATACATATATATATAAATATATATATATAAATATAAATATATACATTTATACGATTCTTTATACACACTGTACCCCCCTTTAAAAATAACAAACACTTAACGATGTTCTATACGTTTGTACGAAAGTATATGATATTAATTATGCCTCTGAAACGATATACATTTGTTCCTCTTCGTTCTCTAGTCTCAAAGTGTCGCGGGATCAATGTGTCGAATTCTTCTCCCGCGATTATTCCGTGTAAACAAGTCAATTAGAGTTTTTGATTTACGTTTTAAATAAAATAATAAGCCATACACACACACGTGCGTGATGCGCGTGAAGAAAAAAAAACACCTGAGCAACAGAAGAAGAGGAAGTGTTGATCCGCGTGTGTAAAGGGAGCCGAATGTGCAAACACATAGTGACAAACACGCTTTGAGACTTCGGAACTTAGGGGCCGTTTTTTTAGATGTAATAGAACGAACGCTGAATAATAACATTCTCTTTGTAATTTAATAAGCCAACGATATCAGACCGATAGAGAGTCTAAGAGTCGTTTTTTCTCTGTGTCTTCCTTGAAAGAATTCTCACTCAGTCCCCGAGCGAAACTTTCCCGTCGATTCTTTTCTTGTGCACGCGTTCGTTCGTTCGTTCGTTCGTTCGTTCTTAGCTCGTAAACACGCGGACGAACCCGCGTCGCGTGAGAAATTCTCGTCGGGAAAAATTAAACGGAATTAGGAATAATGCTGCAATGTTTAGTGCTTCCAATGGCAACTCGATCGTGATACAAGTGGCCATACTGTCATTGTCTCCAAGATTTATCATATACATACGTAACAACGCTACACGTCCGATAAATAAAGTTTAAATATACATGGAATTTACACGAGTCGATTTTTTAAGGGAAACTCCGCAATTTGATTAAAGATTTATAACGAAACTTTGTATACGAGAAAATGTGAAAAGCAACGCGTTTCATTTCTTGACTCAGGTTTAAAATTAGCATTCCAAGTTGCATTTATATTAAAATAAGGGATAGAAAATAAAATTTGAGAAATTTGATCGACTAACACTGGAACGACCAATCTCTAACGTGTACATAAATATACATAAATATATTAAATATACATATAATTATAGTTAAAGTGATATGATGAAAATAAAATAAATATAATAAAAATAACTATAAATATAATCGTGTTTAGATAAGATCGATAAGAGTCAAAATTCATTTTGCCAAATACACTTATATATTTGTAATAAATGCACTTCAAAGAATTTGCCATTTTAACGGTTAATTGGTAGTTCTAGTGTTATATCTTGAATTTTACTATATATATGTAAGAGAAAAAAATTTTGGAAGAAGTATCTGAAAACCCAGACCAGCCACTGTTTGTACATTTCACACGGTCGGGTAGCCACTCCACGTTTTTCACTGGAAAAACGCAAATTCTCAATAACGCGTCTATTCAAAAAGAACATTTTTCATTTTCTTTTTTTTTTTCAAAGCGTATCGAAAAATACACTCGACAACTGAAACGAAAGTAACTTTCTCGGCGATTTGAAACCCTTTCCCGCCAATTTTCAAACCTTACGACACAAAAGATCGAAGATAGAATCACTCGCAAAACGGTTTTAATACAATTAATTTGCGACGAGAGCCAATATCGTGATTCAGTACTTACGCGCAATCGAATCGGCTCATTCTAAGCTAACGATTCTAGTAATTAGTCGAGCCTAGTATTTATCTTTGATAATTTTACACATTATACACTCATAGCGATATCGTACCGAAAGTAAAAGAAAAAAAAAAAAATCCGAATATCGTGTGGTTACGATATAATAACGTTTAATATTGATATACATGTATAACTCTTACCGTAAGATATATTAATTATTATGGTGAAACACATAGGATGCATGTAATTAATTAACAATAGCGTGCTCGCCATTGGTGAAAAATTTTTCCCGTCGTATCAACCGAACAATGATCAATCGACGGACGTGTTCTTTACCAACGAGAACGAGTTCACGCGAACTTTATATATATATATATAAATATATATATAAATATAAGAAAAAAAAATACATGATATTTATACACAGAATGACCAATTTTTATCTGGTGCCAATACGTCTTCTACGTCTCAGACTACGTTCTTCGATAAAAGAAAACAAATTTTATACGGAAGCCTGAGCGTAGATTAAAATTGATCATGCTGTGAATAGCGAGGCGAATAACTACGCACAGTACGCGAATATACTCACTATGCTCGTGATGGATTTATTTTATCCGTTTCTTTTTCTATTTTTGTTTGTTTATTTTCCTTTTTTCTTCCTATCTTCCTCTTTCTTCATACTTTGTATTCGATTACAATGAGAACAGAATGACAATTATCACAACCCTTATTCAAAGCATAATCCGTTATCGGTTGCCGCGTATAATAATATGTGATACATAAAGAAACGAGTGAGCCGAGGATATCTCGGTGGTCTCGACTGTATGGAAGTAGGATAGTTTTGACAGTACGTGCTAGTATAAAGTGTCCTTTTATATGAATAAATGATTTTGTATGTCAAACTTCTTGATCTACTGTGATTCTCACTTCCTTCCTCTAGAAGGGTATCTTGAATCTTTGCAATTGCAATATTTTATGAAAAATCATTATCGGAATCATTAACGTTTGGGAAATAAATTATTATCTGCAAAATTTATAAATTTTATTTAAATGAATTTTTAAATTAAATTGAACGCAACTAAAAAAATAAAAATAAAAACGTTTTGACATTGCAATTATTGTTATTGTTAATTTAAAAGAGAATCTGAAAAAATGTTTGAAATTAAAGATAATTAAAAAAATTTTTATTAAAAAATAATAAAATGATATGTTTATTGTGATTATATAAAAATTCACATTTAATGCAAATAGACTTTATAACTTAGAAAGTAATCAAATTAATTTATTTATTTTTTTAATATATCTTATTTTCATAAAAATTTATCAAGTTTCAGAAATTTTTATTCGCAAAATTGCTATTACATTTCATGTATTTTATAACATAATGATACATAATTCTCTTTCCGTTTTTAACTTCAAAAATATATTGATTACAATAAAATGCATAAAACTTTTCTCTATGATAATTCATTTTCATTTGTTCATTTTTTCATAGATTACAAAAGCTGAAATTTCATATTGTTACTTGAATATAATTCAATAATAATTATTTAAGAAAGAGATTTTATTTTGCTTACACAATTGATTGACTTACTTTTAATCTAAGTTTAACAAGGAAATGCCTTCTTAAAGTTTCATATATTCTATTGTGTTGAGAAATTTTATAATATCCACACATTTCGTCAAGAGTTATCTTGATTCTAGATTCATTCTGATATAATTTGTAAGATCTAATGAGAATAGAATAATCGATACTTTTATCACGCTTATTTTATTACGCCTATGCTTAATCAATTATTTGCTTTTTATGAGCTTTCTATATGACTTCTAATAAGCATTATATGAATGCTATTTATCAATTGTTAAATAAACATGTTAGTAATTAAATAATATGTTTAAATTGTGGTAATTAAGTTAAAAAATATGTAATATTATATTATTTAATTATTATATGATCAATTTGGAAAATATCATAGAAAAAATTTTGAATTATATAATACATGAATGTATAATTACATAAATAAAATTGCAGTAGATAGTAAGATAATATTACTTTAATATCTGCTAGTTTTAAAAAAGTATTAACTTTTCTGTTATATGTATTATTTTCCTATACAATGATCTTTTAGCGATAAAAAATAAAGATTTGAAAAGCTAATTTATTAATTGTTTTTTTAATTTTCATTCAGTTAAGTAATAAAATAATAAAATTTGAAAAACTATTTTATTTTAATTCGCAATATAATTCCAATAAAAAGCAGTTTAAAAAAGCATTGGAAAAAAAAATTTTTTTAAATTAATTTGAATTTAAATTTATTTCATCAATTTTTATAAGACCTGCAAAAATACAATTATGAATTATATATAGCAAATAATCTAAGCTTCAAATTAATTTATCTCTCTTCTAATTTAGCTTATTTTCGTTAAAAGGAATCGTTTTCCAGAAGTTTTTATTAGCAAAATTATTATTAACTTTCATTTTTATATTTGTAACATTAACTATATGCAGATAACGAAAATCAGGATCATTAGGATTTAATGATGGCCATGTAGCTTCGTCTATACGTGGAATACTGAAATGTTTAAAAATTTATACTTATAAAATATGCTTAAAAAAAACAAAAAATAATATTTGAAAAATCTTATTCACCCCTGTATAGCAAATGATGTATAAAAATTGATCAATAACTGTTGCATAGTCAAATCCTGTGGTTTTGTTACGTTTGAAATAATTGAATCAAGTGTAAGAAATATATCATCGCCATGGCTTACTCCTAACTTAGTTAATTCATATTAAATTTTTTTTTCTTTGTTATAACAAAATATTCTTTATTATAAAAAATATTACCGTAATTTGCAGTTGAACCTCCGCTTAAAATTTCACTAACACTATGTTTAGCTCTGTAACTATAATAATATATCCATACTGGACTCTTATTAATTCTTGCTTGTAATCTAACAGCTTTCTCGAAATCGATGTTGAACAATCGATCACTCATCATTTGTATTATTGATCCCACTTTGTCGAAATTAATCGGACCTGATCCCAGATAATAATTTTTAATTTTTTCCGCTACTTGTTTATGCTGATCTAGCGGAATAGTATTATTGAAATCGAGTAAATACGGTGCAATATCGTCCCAATGATCGTTCAAATGCCGTAACAGTTTAGCATTGCCAATAAATTCTATCAAAATAAAATTTTTACAAGTGAATTAAAATAAAATTTTATCAATATTCTTACTTCATATAATCAGACCTGCAGCAGTATATAATCCTTCTTTGCTAACTACGCCAGAGATCCAAGGAACATCATAAGCTTGGCCATTATTGATAATATTAATTGGAGAATTAGAAATAAAGGGATTGGATCCATATGTCTCAACAACTGGTCCGAAAGGAGCGAAAGGATTATACAACCAAAACTAAGATAAGGTTTGATTATATATGTATAAATATATATGTATATATTATTGTATGAAAATAAAAACAAAGAAAATAAGAAAGAATAATTCACCATGAAATCGCCAACAGCTTGTGCTATATTTCGTGCAGGCCGACTTTGAAGACAATCGATCATTTTTTTCGTATCATCTGTCCGACATTTCATAAGAGCACCCAATTTTTTAGCTTTTTCAGGAGCATGCTTCGTCTGTGCCCAAGGACAGAATGCTACACCACTTATCGATATTCCTCCTATATAAAATATAAAATTAGAAAATCTTGATAAACTAAATTAATATTAATAAGAAAAAAAATAATCGCTTACTTTTGAAAAGACCGGCACTCATAGGTGATAAATAGTGATAATGAACACTAGCGCCACCCGCACTCATTCCAAAAATTGTTATTTTATTTGGATCACCACCGAAACTTTTAATATTATTAAACACCCAACGTAAAGCCATACTTTGATCTTTCAATCCCATATTTCCAGGTACTATAATATCTCCAGTACTAAGGAAGCCTTAATAAAAAATAAATATTTTTATGTATTTTTTTGCAAATAGTTCTAATCTTTCTTCTTACCAAATGGTCCTAAACGATAATTAATCGCAACAAATACAATATTACGATCCATTAAAAATGTCTCGTTTGCTTCGTTCCCACTGGCAAACTGGAAGGCGCCTCCGTGAATCCAAAACATCACCGGTAATAATGGTTTTCTATTATTTCTAACTGGTACATAAATATTTATGTACAAACAATCTTCGGAACCTTTTACTCTGTTTCCATGTGTCGTAAAAGTCATAAGGTATTGCATACAAACGGAACTTTTCTTCGTGGCTAATAGATCTTTCGACCATTTTTTTATTGGTCGAGGTGGCTAAAATTTTATATTATATTACTATCATTTTATAATATATAATTCCATTTCGCAGTGATTTATTTTTTAATAATATCATTTAACATACTTGGAATCTAAATTTACCAACTGGAGATTGTGCATAAGGAATACCTTCATAAGCTTCGTATAATCTATCATGTCGAGATTTCTTATAATAACCACGAATGTTTCCCGCAAATGTGCTCACTTTGGGAACTTGTTCTTCCTGCCACGAAAACTTGACAAATCCCAAAAATAGGAGAATGAACGATAGTTTCAACATGTACATTTTAAGACTGTATATGTATCTATTCGGTAGCCAAGTTTTTATAAACAAAATTTCCAATAAATTGTATATAAATAATTTTATTAAGTTAATATCATACCTTTAGTTTAGGTGATAAAAACGAAGTGTCGTAAAAAATTTATCGATATATCGATTACCACTACGATTGTATTACTATTAACTGTCACTAATTGATCATCAAAATTAAAATGGTGGTCACGCATTGTCTATTACAATATCGTCAATTGTCACGTTGCCATGTATTGTAAGTACTTCAATATTGCAATACATGCTATTATATTAAATTAATGATTAATTAATTTCTAAAAAAAATTGGATAAAAATGCTATCGATTCAATTTTAATAATAAATATAAAATTATTATTAAAAATTAATTAAAAGAAGTTATTTTCTTTAATTAAAAAAAATCTTCAAGAAATTCAAGAACTGGAATTAATTACATGATATAGATCGATGTAGAAATAAATTTAAAAAATAATTAAAGATTTAAGAATAATCAGAATAACAAACAATCTATAAAAGAATATATTATTATTCTGATATTTATTTATAAAACTAATATTTGTATTTTTGAAATATAAATTGTTCTACGTTGTTTAAAAGATAACCTTGAAAGTTAGTACACAATCGTAAAAAGTAAAAAAATTAATATATGTTATTGCAATATGAATACGAAACTTCAACATGGTATATTAAATGCCCATAAACATTTTATTTTTAAACATAGTTATCAATTTATCACTCACGACAAACAATGTTATAATGTATATATTAAAATATTAAATATATTAAAATTTTAGAAGTATCACGAATCTTTATTTATAACTTTATCAAATCAAATTTTGTTAATCATAATAAATTCATAAATTCGTTTTAAAAAATATATCTGCATTTCTATAACTTATCTAATTAAATAAAAATTAATTAATTAGTTTGTATGATTATTTGTTCTATAATTAATAATTGTAATATAATTAATAATTATATTATTTGTAATAATTAATAATTGTATTATTCGTAATATACGTACTTATAAAATGTGTAATATTTTATTCGGAGATGTTTAAATACGCGAGTGTGATAATTTTCGTGTATTGTCATCCATTATTATAAACGGATAAATTGTTGTTATACTATTTTATCTACAAATGGTAAGCTGCATACTTTTTGACGTGGATAATTGATTTAGTTTTCAAATATAATTAAATTTAACAATTATAAAAATATATAGATTTTTTCTGGAATATTTAAATAATAGCCATTTTTTTATTTAGAGTTTTAAAATAAAATAGACATTTAAAATATATATATTTTATGAATAATATTCATGAATGTAGAATATCCGAATGTATGAAAATAATTTTAAGTTAATTACCAAATATAGTAATTTTCAAAATAATTGAATTATTCATAAAATAATATTTAAAAAATCTTTAACTTATATTACTATCTTATAACAAATATTCAAATATTCTATAATAAAATTATTAGAATGAAACATAAAAATTTTTAATATTTTCAACTATATATATCGTATAGGGAATTTATTTTTTTTATATTAACCTTACATGAATTCTGTGGCGGGAATAGTCATTATAATAATGGTGTATGACGTTTTGTATTGTTATTATTTGATAATTATTTGATTAATATCTTCATAAAAACTATGTAAGCTGAATAAATTTTTGTCCGTTTCATTAGTGTGTACTAATGTTCTTATTTGATAAAATATTTGTTCGCTACTAGTTATTAGTAAATCTATTAAGTTATTACGCATTAAATGAGGTTATCTTATATCTTGTATTTTTTTTCTAAACATGAAAAAGGAATTATATGTATAATATAAAAATAAATGCTGTTCACATAAATTGTTTTTATAATGGATATTATAGCAACACAAGTTTATGAAAATTGTGATGCTGCATCACAAATTTCTTATTCTACACAAGATAATAAAATACAGGTAAAAATAAGTTCAATAATCTTGATATTTTCTTTTTGTATTTTTTATATTTATATATTTATTTTCTATTTAATTTTTTTTTCATCATTCTTTTTTATTTTTCCTAACTTATTTTATATTTCATATTTTTATTTTGTAAATTTAAAATTAAATTAAAAATAAAATATTTTTATATGAAATATTTTAGATTGGAGAACTAATTGTTGATACTGAAACATATCCAATTAAAAAAGGAATTAATCAAATTGGTAGACATCCAGATTGCAATATTATATTCAATAATCCAGTAAGTACTTAAATTTTTTTATTTTTTATTAGTTATTATATAAATAAAATAAGCATAAATTTAAATTAAATAATGTAATTATTCATATACTTATAACACTTTATTATATAAAATTGCTATGAAAACATGAAATGTGAAACATAAATTAATAATTATAAATATCTTAGAAAATCTATATTTTTATAAAAAATGTATAATTTTACATTTATTGAAATTTGAAATATATAATTTTACAATTATTACAAAATTTATATGAAATATTTTAATATAATTTATAATTCTTCTTTCAATGTGCCAGATGTAGTATGTAATTTGTTTTCATTAAAGTTAATAGAATTCCAAAAATCTTTATGACCAAAATTTGTGCTGCTATCCATTTGAATCTTTCCTAGTCCAGCAATATGTAAATAATGAAGTGATTTTTCATTTGGATTTAATCTTGGCCATTGAACACTATTAACGTTTGGCACTCTAAAACAATTTAAAAACAAATATGTAATATAAATTGATTTCTATTTTAATATATATCAGTTAAAATATCTACTTACCCATTAGTTGCAAATGATACCCAAAAATCAATCAAAATTTTTTGCATTTTAATATCATTTGTTGTGGTTGTGGAATCGAGATAAGGAGTATCTACAACTAAGTATGCATCATCTGCATGACTCACACCTGTATAAAATTAATAAATACAATTATCATTTTTTTCTTATATTAAAAGTAAAGTTTTAAATTTAAATTTTATACCATAATTATTAGTAGTTCCACTCATAGCTTCACTTATACTGTGTGCACCTCTATAAGTATAATAATAATACCAGACAGGTTGTCGATTAACTTTAGCTTGCATTCTAGCTGCTTTTTGACTGTCGACAACAAAGAATCGGTCACTGGCTACATCAATTAAATGTTTTACAGTTGTTTTATCAATTTTATTTGATTCAAAATAATAATTCCTAATGAGTCTAGCAACTTCAACATGTTTCTCTTTGGGAACGGTATAATTGTAATCAAGAAAATAAGGGGCAAGAAGATCCCAGTTTTCATCCAATAATTTCAAAGCTTCTGGTTTAACAATAAATTCTGTAAAATTAATGATTTTAAATCACAATTCAAAATTATACAAATATTTTTCGATCATTTCGCTCATTTCTTACCAGCGACTGGATATAATCCTTCTTCACTGGTAACTCCTGTAACCCATGGAACATCTTGAACATCACCGCTATTTATAATTTCAATAGGAGTACGATCAATAAATGGAAGTGAATTCGATTGATTATTAACTTTCTCCGGAACAGGTCCGAATGGTGTGAATGGATTATAATAGAATCGCTATAATTAGATTATTAATTTTGAATTAAAAATTACATTAATATGATGAATAAAATAATATAATACCATATATCTGCCATATAAATATACCATAAAATCTGCGAGAGTTTCAACTACAGCTCGAGCTGGACGGTATCTGAGACAACGTATCATTTCCTTGATATTACGTGTAGGACAACCCATAAGAGCTCCCACTTGTTTGGCTTTCTCCAAAGAATTTTCTGTTTGAGTCCAACAATTGAAAGCTGTACCACTGATCGAAATACCACCTATAAAATTTAAAAAAAAAATAAGAAAATAAATAGACAAAAGTACACTACAATATTAAATCAAAAAATCAGAATATTTTTAAAAAGATAACATTTTGCAAATACCTTGGAAAAGACCGGCGCTCATAGGTGATAGATAATGATAATGAACGCTAGCAGCACCAGCACTTAAACCTACTAAAGTTATCCTTTTTGGGTTGCCACCGAACCATTCAATATTTTCTGAAACCCATCGTAACGCCATATTTTGATCCTTCAATCCCATATTACCGGGAACTATTTCATCTTCTGTACTGAGAAAACCTTAAACAATATTATCTATTATAACTTTTTTTACAATTATCTATGATTATTATACAAAATGATAGTTATTCTTAAATAAATACCTAATATTCCTAAACGATAATTAAATGTAACAAATATAACATCGCTATCCATAAGATATTTGGCACCCATTGTTATTCCGCTACCAAATTGAAAAGCACCACCATGGATCCAAAAGATTACTGGCAATGATTGAGAAGGTGTTCTATCTGCCGGCACGTAAATATTCAAATACAGACAATCTTCAGCACCTTCAATTTTGTCATGTGGATTTAAAGACAATTGGCTATACTGTAGACAAGGAGAGCCGAATTTTGTTGCGGAAAGTTCACCCATCCATGGTGGAACTTTTTGAGGAACCTAAAGAAAACAATAAATATTTTCTTTTATTATCATTAAGTTCAACAAAGAAATTTGAAATATTATGTATTACAAACAATTATATGATAGTTTATATTTAAAAATTCATAATATTAAGTAATTTTTCCAATTTTAAAAATCAAATATAATCAAACACTTTTTACCCTGAATCGAAATTTTCCAATTGGAGGCAACGCATAAGGAATTCCTTCGTAAGCTTCATATTGTCTTCCATTACCAGATGTCTTATAATATCCCTTAATTGGACCTAAAGGAGTTTTTACTCTGGGCGCATCTTCCAAAGTCCAACCAAAAGTCGCAAGAGAAGAAAGAAATAGTAGGAATAGTAGTTTCATCATCTTTGATGGATTGACACTGTCTCAACAATTAACTATTTTCGTCTTATTTATTACTTATCTTTTCAACGTCACTTGTGAAAAGATAAACGCGCACACAAATTTTTGATGTTTTTATATATAATTTAATTATTTTCTTTAGTTGAATTGAATTTTTTTTATAAATTAAGAAAAAAAATTAAAAATGGATATATTTTATATATATATATATATATATATATGTACAAGAAAATTATATCTGTATATAAATAATCTACCG